GTCCAAGATTGGTCAAATCAGAGAAGGATTAGGTATTGATGTGTGGGATGGATTGGAGAAATCATCACTAGGTGTGTTTATCAAGCTAGCTGAACTAGAGTACACATGGGCTGCCAAGAAAGTACATCTATTCCTCACAAATCAGTTGAAAGTGGATAACTTTCATGAGATATGGTCTATGATTGATGGTAGACCAGTCCGGTTCTCCTTAAATGAGTTTGCTGCTATAACAGGACTGAATTGCGATCCATTTGACCCGTCGGAAAAGTTTGAAGCTGATCACCGTGAGCTATGGGGGGCAATGAAAGTACCAATCTCAGAAGGTCCAAAGTTCAATGAGTTGCGAACTGTGATGGATCTTAGCAAGGCATGTGACTTAAAGGAGAGGATGATGGTGGGTAGGTTGTGTTTATTATCAGTGGCAATACATGGAGTACACCACGGATCTAGATTTCCTTTGTCTAGTGCTATAAGAGTTCTTGATCCAGTGAGTTTTGAGAAATATCCGTGGGGACGAGTGGCTTTTGAATGTCTACTTAAATCGGTTAAGACAGTTGACTTTAACAAAGATGGTTATGTTATTAAAGGATGCGTTCACGCTTTGCTTATGTGGGTGTATGAGAGTTTCCCTGGATTAGGAGAGGGTTATGGGTTGAGAAGGCCTATCTTGACTGGTATCCACTTCTTGATTGGCAGTCAACTCGGAAGAATATCGACCTAACAGAATTCATTAAAAACGAGAAGAAGCTGCATGGGCAGGTTAGTTTTTGATCTTTTAAATGTTGTGTCTTTATGTATCAAAGCAGTAACTTCTTTATGTGTCTTTTTCATGTACTTTCTCTATAATGTGAAATTTAGAATATGATTTTATTGAAGTGTTATGACTGTTTTACACAAACTTAAGGTGCAGTCTTATTTTTTTTTTAAGTGTCATGGCAACACTAACCTATTAATTTAAGCTGCAGTTTTTATTTCATTGGTGGTGCTGTTTTATTTAACATTTTGTATGTTGTATATAGGTGCGTGTAAGACACATGATTCCTGTAACTGAAGAAAACATGTACCCTCAATGGAGTAATGCGGAGGAGGATAAGGATCCAGCACTAGACAACTTGATAAAAGACATCATCCATAATCGATTGGCTTTAGATGCTTGGAAAGGTGTGCTAGCTTTTGGTGTGTCTAAGAACAAACGCAAAGTAAAAGCTACTGTTGATGAAGAAGGTAGTATCACACGGAAGGGGAAAAAGATCAAAAAGGCTGAATTTTCTGGCGAAGAAAGAGTCAAAATTCAAAAAGAAGACGAGAAGATAGTCTCAGAAGATATACAAGTTATGTTTTCATGCCTATTCCTGATTAGTTGTGTTTTATAGTAATGTACTTATTGTGCTTCAACTTTTTTTTTTTAAAATCTGAATATCTTACTGATTGTAGGTTGATAAGGATGACAAGAAAGGCTTCTCTGATATTTTATTGATGATGGAAAAAATGAATGGGAGTATTGTAGACAAGGGTAAGAATCTGAGTAGTAGGATCGATGACTTGGAGAATACCTTTGACTCACGGATTGTAGCTATCAAGAGCAGATGAAAAGAATATGGAAGATTCATAATCTTTCAAACGTTTCATGACAAACATAATCTATCAAAATTTAACCAAAGTATTATATGAAAAAGATAAAGAATTCAACTGTAGACTTGCACCACAATAACTAGTCAATGACGAAAAAAGAAATTAAACTTGAAGATTACAAGTCTTACGATTATGACCAACTTGATTGCAATTGCCACAAGTGTATAATTTTCTTGGCTTTTTCTTTTCCATAGCAATCTCCAATGCTGACTTAATTCTCGAATTCTTTGGCCTTCCCGGTTGTTGTTTGGGTATGGGTGGTAAACAAACCGTTGTTGCTACATGTTCAGGAACAGGTATAGCAAACTTCCTTGGCATGATGGCATTAGCATAGGAATTGTAAAGATAGTTCTTGTGATAATACGGATGGCACATTGAAATTCGAGAGACTTTCCTGTTCTCAGCCGCCGCAATTGCGTGTGCACATGGCAATTTCTCCACATCAAACCTGCAACATGTACACTTTTTATCGACCAAATTTACAACGTGGAGAGATGTTGCACTTGTCACTTGTACATGTTGTGCATCTATATCTTGCACAGCAAGTAACTTCGCATAGTCAACGCGGCTCTGTAAAATGAATAACATTGTTAATAGTGAAACATATATACTTGTTTAACTGACATTGATTGAAAGTATGAGAATATACCTGCAGAATTTTCTCGACACCACGTGTCAAAGATGTAATCATTTTTAACGCATCACTCCGCCGATCTGAAAACCATTTAGTCATCATGGACCTTATTTCTTCTAACAACTGTGTAATAGGAAAACTCCTGGCGTGTGACATCACATTGTTCATTGATTCCGCAATATTGCTTGTAAGCAAGTTATACCTATCACCGGGGAAATGTACACGTGTCCAAAGTCGTACATCAGCCCTATCTAGATATGCATGTAGTTCAGGATTCGCCACTTCTATCTGATGGAATATGGTTTGAAAATCTACCTGTCTGAATGCATTCGCAGCCTTCTTAACCAATCCAAATGTTTATTTACCTTTAAAACAGACCAATATATTTTTGTACAGATGGTATGTACAAATTCCTCTACTCGCCTTCGGATAAATCACCTTGATTGCTTTCGCAATTGATTTGTGCCTATCTGAAATAATGGATAGGCCCTCACCATCTGGTATGACACAGCTCAGTTGCTTGAAAAACCATTCCCAAGATTCATCATTTTCTGTATCAACCACAGCAAAAGCAATCGGAAAAATCTGAAAATTACCATCTTGAGCTGTTGCTGTAAGAAGTGTCCCTTTGTATTTTCCCTGTAGAAAAGTACCATCAACAACCACCACTTTCCTCATGAATGGAAATCCAAGCATGCTTGCACCAAAGGCTAGAAACATGTACTTAAATCTTTTTTCTTCATCAACTTCAAGTCTCGTCAATGTCCCCGGATTAGCCCTTCTTAACATGTACAAGTAAGTAGGTAGTTGCTCATAACCACTCTCTGGACTTCCTCTTACCAATTCTCGCGCATACCTGAGCGTTCTATAAGCCTTCCAATAATCCATCTATTAAGAAAATATTACTGTTTCTGTTAAACATTAAAAACTTTTTGTTTTAAAACGCCAAAAATTATTAAAATTTGTATTGTACCTTGATCTGAAAACGTTTATTCAATGATTCAGCAACATGCATTGGCAATACTTTGGGGCCAATTCCACCAACAAAATCCTTGTATAATACTCTAAGAATATCATGAGTTGCTTGACGGGCACGTGCAGAACGCTCTGTTACTGAACATGATTGTTCAGAAATAAAAACACGAATATGAAACTTTGGGTAGTCTCTTTGTGTCGTAGCTCGTACCCTCCACGTACACCCTTTTATCCAGCACTTGACAATCAAAAGAAAAGGTGTCAATTTGTCTACGTAGAAATCGAATCTCTGTACTACGGTTAGTATCTTCAGTCGTGTTTCCAAGTGTTCTTTTGATTCGTAACACTGTCCAACAGCCAAATCCACAGAAGGCAATTGAAACTTTGCATAATAATCATCATCTTTTTGTTCTTCAATATAGATACCTGAACTCGTTTTCTTCAACGGCATTATTTGTTTTTCTTCTACAACTGGTGGAATCCCATACAAGCTATAATTCTCATCATCAGAATCTGTTCCGTCAGAGTCGTCACAGTAATCAAATCTCGTTTCTTCATCGTCATCGCCGTCATCACCAACAACTTCATTAATCAAATCCGTAACTTCCTTAACCAACTCGTTTGCAATTCTTGTTCGTTTTCTCTGCAAGGTACTATCAACGATGCCATCGGTGTTGGGTTGATTAGCTTCAATTGTAACTTTCTTCTTCACTTCAACACAAAGTCGAATTGTATCGCTCTTCAATTGCCCCAAAAAAGAGTGAAACTGTCTTGAATTAGTAATAATAACGGGTGGTGTATCATCCAGTAGATTCTGAGACAACATCTTCGAAATCTTGTAACTCAACACAACATCACAGCCTCTATTCTCGATTCTGTAATCCTCAATTACCATTCGAATGCATTGAGAGTAACTGGTTTCCCTATTAGCTTCCAGAACTCGACATCCTCTATTTGTATCAATGATGAACGACCATTTGTTATTCTCGAAAATCCATTTGCCACATACGAGAATCACCTGATCCATCTCCAAACCTTTCTTTTGAGACATCATGGTGAATTTCAAAAAACGTGGCTGTCAAAAAACGTGGCTGTCGTGGAGATAGAGAAACGAGATAGATAGAGAAACGGTTAGGATAGCCCAAAACCCTAGGAAAATAAGGTAAGTTAGATTATCTCGTCATTTATTATTTTTCAGTTATGGAAATTCAAAATAAAAAAGTCTGTCGTGTTTAAAAAGTCTGTCATGTAGTCCATCATGAAAAGTCTATCATCAAATATGTATAAAAAATCTGTCATAACTTGAATAAAAATTAAAATCTGTCATTGCATAAAACATATCTGTCATCACTATACGAAGTCATTCCAGCAATTTCTTTTTTCATCACTAAATCTGTCGTAATGTGACAGTTTTCTTTGAACTAATCCTAAATCTGTCGTAATGTAAATAAAATCTGTCATCACAAAAATATTTCATTTGCGATTGTAAGTCAATCTAGCAATTTTTTTTTTTTAATGACAAATCTGCTATCACTTGACAGTTTTTTTTGTTTTAAAAAAAAACTGTCATAACATAAAAAAAATCTGTTATCACTACTAAGTCATTTTAGTAATTAGAGGTAATTATTTTTTCAAAAACAAATCTGTCACTTGATGATAGATATTTTTATGAAAATTTAAAGTCTGAGGCCACTAGGAACATAAATCTGCCAGTAATTTTAATAAATCTGTCAAAGTGATGAAAGTCTGTGGTGTTAACTTAAGTCTGCCACAACCTGTTAAATTAAGGTTAAATTAAGTCTGTGAGAGATAAAAAATCTGTCACAAAAAATCTGTCGTTGATAAATAAGTCTGTCATTTAAAATAAATCTGTCATAACGAACCCAGCAGACTTTTCAAAAACCAAAAAAATCTTACGTTTTTCGAAAAATTTTAAGGGTAAATTTGACTTTTTTTTTTCCTAACAAAGAGAGCAAGGGTATTATCGTCATGAAAATAACCAGTCTAACCCCCATATTTTAAGAGACATTCTAGTAATTAAAGTCATTATTTTGGTCAAACTAGTAAGTTTCCCTAAATTCATAGATATAAATTTTATGAAAATCAAATCAAGTTAGAAAGATTTGCTCATACGAATATAGAAAATTTAAATAACACTTACCATGACAAACTTGTTTATTAATAGTATTGTTTTTCATGTTGAAGAAAGATGCAAAATTAAAGAAATTTGAAAAAGACATACAATCAACACGAATCATTTTTGTTTCTTGATAACACTTGATTTGGTACCTATGATCGGAGTTCCTAGTTTGGTATGGTAGGGATAACATGAATGTTCACCAAAAAAAATCACTGTCCCTGGACAAGATTATTTTTGAATGGATCGGAGGCATGGTTGTATCAATCTCTTTTCCCTTAACAAAAACATTTATAGTTAATCAAATATGGGAAAGATTCGGTACCAAACATCTAAAAAAACCACAAACATTAAAGATTGACCATTTCATCGGTGAGAATCATGAAAGACATCCTAGAGAATTCATGAGGTAGTAGTTTACAAAGGCTTAAGATGTTCACATAAAACCTTTCAATCTCGTTTTCTTAGAAAATTTTGGGAAAGCCAAGAAATTCCTTTCCACACTCCTCTTCTTTCCTCTTTTCTCATTTTTTTGGAGTGAAGAAGATGAAAGAGAGAAAGAAGTTACCGATCACAAGTAAGAGATATAACTTTTTCGACAATAGATTATGTTTTATAACAAAATTATTTTGTAAGAAGTTTTTAGAAATTTAATTTAAATATTTCACACGGTTTTTAATGAATGCATATCTTGTCATAAATATTTTTTTTCAAATTTGTATTTATTATGATTGTTTTGAAAGATATAAGCAAATGTTTTTTTGTTCTCAAGAAAAAGTTGTTCAGCTTTTGAAAATTTATAAATCTGATTGTACACGATTGGATAGTTTATTTAGAAGGAAGTAAAATTTAATGATTTACATATTATCTAAAAATATATTTGCTAAATTTGTATTTTCTTATATTGTTACTACTGAATATTCTAACCTTTCATGATAAGCTAATATAAGTATTCTTATCATCTTATGATCAATATTAGTACATGATATTTATTACAAATGTAAAGTTGCAATGGTATAATTATTCTAGACGTTAATTGAGTATATGTATAAGAAGTGTAGATTTAAACAGATATGCTCTATGATTTATATTATCATATTTTTATTTTGTTTTCAAAAATTGAAAATTACATATATTTTCTGTGATTATAAAGATTTCCAACAGTTTTGACTAAATTATAGTAATGAAATATATTGTTGGGGATAAAATGAAAATTTAGGCCTAAAACCTAAATCATAAATAACTATTTATTCATAATTAATTTTCTTTTAATTTCATTTTAAATCGGTCCATTTATACCTTAGTTTGAGCCTAAAATTATAAAGTTGTATATACAAAAATAGTCGCAAAGCCTTAAATTCTTTAACTTATCTTGTTTGGTGAATGTTGATTACTTGACAACCAAACTTACTTTCTCCATGTTCATATGATATGAGTTAACAATCAAATAGAACAATTTCATTAAGAGTCAACATAATAGCGTTATGTAGGTAACAAATGCATTTTTTAATATATTATTATTCTTACATATATAAATTGAATATTTCTCACACTTGCATATCATGTCTTTTTTCTAAAAAAAAAGTTACTCAGCTTTTGAAAATTTTAATAATTCAAAATTTTCAAGTTTAGAAAGATCTGCAGTTTCCGACTAGAGGCCAGTATATTTTTTTGGTCTATCTGCTTCCATACGTATTTACTCTGAATAACAACAACAACATTAACAAGAGCAGATGAATTATATGCATGTTTCACAGCCTTCTTTAGTTTATCAATGGTATCTTCCAACACGACAGATATCTGGTAAACTTCAATACCGTAGTCTATCCAAAGTTGGAGATAGCCATTAGGTGATCTAGTTTGACTTTTTATTTCTTGGAGACTGATAACAGATATTGGCCAAGCAAAACTAGATTCTGGCATATTGTCATTCGAGAGTGTTTCTTCATTTCTGGATCTAACATTGTGACCGTTTGCACAAAATGTTTGCTATGTTAGGCAGATTCTAAATCATGAATACACAACGAATTAGCTATGAAACAAAAATCTATTCTAGCAATAGCAATGAATAGAAACTGAAAACGGAAAACCAGAGTTAGCTACCGTATGAATAATTATTTATCCAAAGAACATACAAATGCTTTCCGATTATGGAGATTAGTCATAGTGATTCAAAAATCTCAAGCAAAACAATAAACAAACTTTTCGATTATGCAGATACAAAAACAATTACGCAGTAACTAAACAGTATCAAATTTACAGATCGAGTCAGATATTTCTATATAAATAAAACATGACAAAGATCGTTATGAAGAATTCGATACAAAGCCATGAAACAAAACAAAAATTGGAAACAATTGAGCAATGATCGGAGAAAACTAAGAGAAAACGAAACGGGGTAGATATCGACTAGTTAACTTCATGTAAACGAAACAGGACAAAAATCGCAAGCAAAGTTTCACGGATTCTAATACAAAGCCATGAATTGAAACGAAAACAGACAATAGAATCAATAGCGACAAATTACGTACCAAAAGCTCCGGGGTTGAAGTGCGAGAACAAGAATTGTATGAAGAACGCCAGAAAATATAAAGTTGAGCTACGATCGGAGAAAACGAAATAGTACAAATATCGAATTAGGTATCTCCATGTAAACAAAACGAGACAATTTCGCAAGAACATGTTCACAAAATCCGCTACAAGCCATGAATCGAAACAAAAACCAAGAAAACTGAGCCATTTAGTTTCAACAACGACAAATTACTCACTAGAAGCTCCAGGTTGAATAGTTGGAAGAAGATCGCCGAAAAATAGTAGAGCTGAGAAATGATGATTAAAACAAACAACATGATTGACTAGAATTGCATTAAGAAATCAATAAAAGAGCATAAGAGTTTAGAAATCTTTTCAGATCTATCTCTCCAAAAGCTCTCTCAAATTATTTTCTAAAAGGTTCAACCTCCAATATAAAACTTAGAATAAAGCTTAGGTCTAAACAATGACCCTAAAAATCTATTTATAACTAATAAAACGAATAAGAACTTAGCTGCAAATAGATAAAAACTCTGGGTCACCTTTGCAATTTTTCAAAACTTCAAAACTCGCTTGAAGCTTCTGTCCACGACTGGTGTTGAGCGACACCCATAAGTGGTATCGATCGATACCCACACCAAATATGCTTTCGAGTTTGATTCTTCGGCAGAGCTTCTAGGTTTGCTCTAAAATGTTCATAATCTCCAAATAAATACTCTATAAATAGGACTTATATCATGGTTAAAAAGCCGTAAAAACCATGATATATCATCTTCGAAAATTCCTATACCAAAGACATTATATCGTAAATATTGTAAAATTTTAAGGAAAAGTTCATAAATGTATTTCTTACACAATAATATTAGATAAAAAATGTATTAAAGGTTTAAATTTTTTATTTTTTGAAATAAAATTTATGAAACTTGGATTAATTAGGAACAAAAAGAGTAATTTTTAAGACAATTAATTCTCAATTGAAAGGGAAAATGTTTTGATGTTTAGAAGCCAAAATCTAAATGAAAAAGTCATACCCAACTAAGAAGCATGGAATCGCCGGTGGAGCTGCGTTTCTCGCTTCGGAAGCGGAAGCGGAAGCGGAAGCGCCTGGAATCGCTCGGAATCGTCTCCGAATCGCGATTCTCTAAATGAGCCGTTTGGAACCGCGGTGGAAGCGACGATTCGGAGTTGGAAGCGTGGTGGTGTAGATCGGAAGCGTGAACGGTGGCTACGTTATTGAAATTCGATATTTCTTAATTTTATCATTTTATGTGATAATAATGATGATTTGTGTTGAATAGTCCATGAATTCGCAAAATCCAAGTGAAAAATGAGATAAAACGATGATTATTAACGAAGCAAAAAAGAGTGGCGGCCATAGCTAGGGTTTTGAAAATCGCAGGGGATGAAGATGACGGTCGAATGACCATATTACCCTTTGATAATGAAAAACCAAAAAAAATTTGCCAAAGTATAAAGGATTAATGGGTTCGTACTAGCAACCTCTTAGAGAGACTTAATGCAATTTGCCAAAAGTGCTACAAGAACTTTCGCAAATTCATTGCAACTAAAACTATATAACCTTATATCTGTAACCTTGAATATTAACTTATTTAATTAATGATATATAAAAGCTTTATATCAAATTTCCTGATTATTCTGTCAAACTATTTATTTATTATATATATATACGCTTCCAACACGTACCCGCTTCTTAAATTTTTTTAAAAATGCGCTTCTCCGCTTCCAAACGCTTCCGCTTCCGCGTACCCGTTTCCGATTCCATGCAGCTTAGATACCCAACCAATATAAACGAGATCCAAGTAGAAATTCACTTTCAAAACCGTACCAAACATTTTTGTTGCAATTCATACCAGCTATTAAACCAGGACTGGTAATAGTGAACAACAAATTATTTATTAGGCTTCATTCACACTAACAGTGCAGGCACGAGCACACACGTGTGGAAGGAGACAAGAACAATGAGGTTAATGGGTCCTGCATGAACAGTGAGACTACGAGAGTCCAAGGCACGAGGCATCGTGGTCCGCGAACGGCTCATTTTCTCTCATGTGGGTGCCACTCTTTTTGCCCACTTTCTCGATCCCTTCAAAATTTAGCAAATTCAAAGTCTCTATACTATTCTTTGTTAAATTTTGTAGCTAGCTCGTCAGGAATCTTTGGACATTTACACAAGTAACTTTGTCTTCCTAACCAAAAAGTCTACAAGAAATTAAAAAACATATTGTTTCATACTTTTATCTTTACTTGTATATATGTTTCTAATAAAAATAAAAAATGTGATATTTGACCCTAAATTTTGAAATGAATTCAAGTGATTGTCTCACTTTATTTTATTTCAACTCGCAATTTAGATTAAAAAGTAAAGTTATATGTTTTTTTTTTAAATTTTGGTTTTGGTATTTTCTACAGTTAGAGAAAAGCCAGCAAATATAGATTTTTACCAAACATGGTGGGGTCGGCGTGCAATGTTACCTCTATTATTGTTTTACTTATTTATTTTTTAACTTATTCATAGACCATAGTCATATATGAACAAATGACTATAAGAAATTTCATGACTATCACACTATCATCTAATCCTACACAGCTACCCACTGTATAAAATAATCAGAATTTAACTTTACGTATAAACAATATCATTCTCTTTGAACAACTAGTAAACAAACAATCTATCTATCAATTAGTATGAATAACTTAAAGAACACAAAAAACAAAAGGATTCAGATCCATAAAAACCCCATCAATTCTACTCATGATTACCTGTAAACTCTAAGCATATACACAATTACAAACTGCAACATGTGAAATATGGGATAGTGGAGAAGGTGATGCAAATTATTTGACATGTCACATGTGAAAATAAATCTCAATACTAAAATAAGAAACATTATGTATGAACCTAATAATTTATTCACTTATTGATTCCCTTTGGATAATAATAAGACACAGTCTTCTTTACCACTTACCACCACTCTCCACAACACCACTCTCTCATTTCATAACCCTAAATCTCTTTCTCTGTATCTCCTTAAAATCTCCATCTCTCTCTCCAACTCTCTTCTCACCAGAAGCTGAGTATGGATCTCCTCACACCACTCATTTTCCTCATCCTTCTCTCACCCATTCCCCTCTCAGGTAACAACAACATTACATTACAAAACCACAATCTCATTACTCTGTTCTTATGTTCTGTCTTTTTTTTTTTTCTTACAGAAGCTGGTTCCATCGGAGTAAACTACGGTCGAATCTCCGACGAACTACCATCAGCATTCAAAGTAGTCCAACTCCTAAAATCTCAAGGAATCGACAGAGTCAAAATCTTTGACGCAGACCCATCAGTTCTCAAAGCTTTATCTGGATCTGGAATCAAAGTCACCGTAGATCTCCCCAACGAGTTACTCTTCTCCGCCGCCAAAAGAACTTCCTTCGCCGTCTCATGGGTCAAACGTAATGTAGCTGCTTATCATCCTTCAACACAGATAGAATCAATCGCTGTTGGTAACGAAGTCTTTGTTGATACACACAACACTACAAGCTTCTTGATCCCTGCAATGAGAAACATTCACAAAGCTCTTATGAGTTTCAATATCCACTCCGACATTAAAATCTCCTCTCCTCTTGCTTTAAGCGCTCTTCAAAACTCTTACCCTTCTTCCTCTGGATCTTTCCGACCAGAACTTGTTGACTCTGTTATCAAACCGATGCTTGACTTCTTACGTGAAACTGGTTCAAGACTTATGATCAATGTCTATCCTTTCTTTGCTTACGAAGGAAACTCTGACGTCATTCCTTTAGACTACGCTTTGCTTAGAGAGAATCCAGGAATGGTTGATTCAGGTAATGGTTTAAGGTACTTTAATCTCTTTGACGCTCAAATCGACGCCGTTTTCGCAGCGATGTCGGCTTTAAAATACGATGATATCGAAATCATTGTGACGGAAACTGGTTGGCCGTCTAAAGGAGATGAGAATGAAGTCGGAGCTACTTTAGCTAACGCAGCTTCTTACAACGGAAACTTAATCCGTCGGATCTTGACACGTGGAGGTACACCGTTACGTCCTAAAGCAGATCTGACCGTTTATCTTTTTGCTCTGTTCAACGAGAACAAGAAGTTAGGTCCAACGTCGGAGAGAAACTATGGTCTCTTCTTCCCTGATGAGAAGAAAGTCTACGACATTCCTTTCACAACAGAAGGGCTTAAACATTACCGTGACGGTGGTCATACTCCGGTTACCGGAGGAGATCAGACCACCACGAAGCCTCCGATGAGCGGAGGCGTGTCGAAGAGTTTGAATGGTCATTCTTGGTGTGTAGCTAATGGTGATGCTGGTGAAGAAAAGTTACAAGGTGGTTTAGATTATGCTTGTGGTGAAGGTGGTGCTGATTGCAGTTCGATTCAACCTGGTGCTAACTGTTACAGTCCTGATACACTTGAGGCTCACGCTTCGTTTGCTTTCAATAGTTATTACCAGAAGAAGGGTCGTGCCGGTGGGAGTTGTTACTTCGGCGGCGCCGCTTACGTTGTTAGCCAACCACCGAGTGAGTATTTTTATTTCATCTTTTTTTTGTGGCGCATGTTAAGAGTAGGTGTGGGGCTTTCATGCTAACCTACGCCTATTAGGGTAGCGTATTTTTAGGGTAGTGTAGATGTGGTTAGATTTGTGGACGACAGACGTCAAATGTTCCCACGTGAACATAGATCACTAGTGTTTAGTGTGACGTGGCTTTACGTCATCTTGGTGTTAAAAGAGAATCGGAATCCTATGATTTTTTATTTCATGCGTTCTATGTTTTACATAAGTTTGTTTTAAGAAAAATCTATCTTAAGAAGCTGATTAGTTTAATTAATGTGAATATGCAGAGTATGGAAGATGCGAGTTTCCGACAGGATATTAAGGAAGAAGAAGATTTGAGTTTAGATTAATTTCTTCTATATAATATATTCGTATTTTGATGTTTTTTTGTTTGGTCGGAAGTCTTTTGTTAATTTTTGTAATTTCTGACTTTTTAATGTTATGTTGTTAATATCAACTGAGACGATGTTCTTGATATTTAATATTTAGGTAATGAAATTATAATGTTGGTTAAGCTGCAGAAGTCGAGAAATGTGCGTTCATATTCATATTGTTGTCGTATTAAATTCGAGTAAAAGTGTATAAGCGAAACTGCGTAAGTTTATAGCTGGATTCCAATTCCGAAAAGAACAGAAGTAAAGTGTATGACAGCTTTTTTCCTAGAAGTAGTTGAAGATATTTTTTGTGAAAATAAAAAGTATCTATTTGTGGGATTGTAGTTCAGTAAAAAAAAAAAAAAAAAAGAGATTGTAGTTCAGTCTTGTGTGTTGGTGTTGGCCCAAGAAATTGTTGAGGCCCCATAACCTTAAAGATTCTCTTGTACCTTAGGGAAAGCTATTGGTTGACAAGTTTTAAGGATGATTTAAACGGCAGATCAATCGTATTATATCATAAATGTGTTACATGATATATGATATATAAAACCATAAAAATACAACCATTGAACCAAATAAAGGAAATTGAACACAATTTCGATGAAGAAGCGGAAGTAACCCTGCTTTCTGTTGGGGTCGGATTCCACACATCTTCGGTAGGATCCACTTGGATCTGTCCACGTCATTATTACATAATAATCCTCTTGGATTCCTAGATGTTTCGTTGCGAGAATCGAGCTCGACCTGTCGGAAGTTCGATTCAGTTTATTAAAGAGCTCGATCTTTACCAGTACGGAGCTCGCTCTTATTCAACATACAGTTCGCATAAAAGAAGACCGAAGCGAGGAGAATATTGTCCGAGGTTCGCGGCAGCGTCAAGACGCAGGAGTTCGGAGTCAACAAGAAAGAGTTTGGAAGATCCACGCGAAGCCCAAGATAGTTCAAATTCAAGCCGTTTCGATCAAATTGTAACCTACATGATTAATGCGGATCAATGCAATTATGAGCAGTAAATGACCACATTGATCATGTTTTCTCTATAAAAACAACCTCAAACGCATGTGTTTGAGGGGAGAGGAGAACAACTTTTTACCTCTTACGATCAAGCAATACAACATACTCCTTCTTTTACAATTTTGCAAGGCTTTTTACTATTTTATTCTTGCCAAGCTCTTTCGCTTTATTTAGTTTCTTGGTTACTTTCCTTTTCAAATCCTTATTTTCATTTGTTGATTTTAGAGTTTTTCTCCACAAAAATACTTAAAGACAATCGAGTGTGAATCCTACATCCACATTTTGGCGCCGTCTGTGGGGAGTTACCGCAAACTCTTTAATCTCAAAATCTCTCTTTTTCAAACCAAGAAACTATGGCTGATCAGCAAGCTTTGAGCAATGCAATTGCCTCACTTACTCAATCAACCACCGATCTGACCAATCAGATGGGTACACTCGCTAGTGCCAACGCCACTTTTGGTGAAAGGTTAAACTCAATCGAGCAAACTTTAACGAATGTTCAAAATACTCAAACAAATTTGTCAAACGCGCAGAACGTTGTTTCAAGCCGTTTAGATAATTTGTCCTCAGCACAAACGATAGCGTATCAGCGCAGGCTATTCCAAACTCCCACACAAAACAGATCCGGGAGCACTCAAACTCCTCCTACAGGCCTTCCTGCTAGTACTAGCAATCAGACAACCGTAGGAGATGGGTCCAATCCAACCGGGGATGAAAATCCCCAAAATCAGGGCAATCCTGCTATTGACGAAGGACTCCTTATGGAAGAACCTGATGTCATCCTTTCCGATGATTTCGTCAAAGTTCGTCAAGAGCTTGATGAGATGAAGTCGAAGTTTCATCAGGCGACCAGTTCGGCACCTGAGATCGATCGAGTAATCGAAGAAACTCGACGAACACCCTTCACTTCGAGAATCTCGAACCTTCGGATCAAAGATTCTCGAAAGGTCAAATTACCAACTTACGATGGTAAAGGTGATCCTAAAAATCACCTCGCTGCTTTTTTGATCGTTGCTGGCAGAATTGATCTAGAACCAGACGAGGAAGATGCCGGATATTGCAAACTATTCTCTGAGAATCTATCCGGATCGGCTTTATTATGGCTCACTCAGTTGGAGCCTGAATCTATTGATAGTTTTAAGGAAATGTCCTCCGCATTCCTAAAACAGTATTCCATGTTCATGGAAAAGGCAACCTCTGATGCAGATCTATGGAATTT